TACAAAACACACCATGCTCGGACCACTTTTGGAAGTTGCGATGTCGAAAAAGTGCACGCCGTTGTGTGGCGCGAAGCACATTTCGAAGTCAAAATGTTGAAAACACCGGGGTTTCGGACCACTTTTGGAAGTTGCGATGTCGAAAAAGTGCACGCCGTTGTGGTGCGAAGCACATTTCCAAGTCAAAATGTACAAAACACACCAGGTCCGGACCACTTTTGGAGGTTCAGATGTCGAAAAAGTGTCGAACAAGTGCACGCCGTTGTGGCGCGAAGCACATTTCGAAGTCAAAAGTGTAAAAAACTGATGGTTTTGAGCCTTTTTTGACGTTACGATGTCGAAAAAGTAGACACTGATTAACTTAACTAACTTGACTAACTTAACTACCCTAACTTCGACGACAACAGCAGCAACAACAACAACAACAACAACAACCCAACCAAACTTTGGTTGACAAACTACAAACTACAACAACAACTACTACTACAACTACAACTACAACTACACAACAACTACAACTAGAACTATAACAACTACAGCTACAGGCTACAACTACAACAACTACAACTACAACAACAACAACAGCAACAACAACAACAACTACTACTACAACTACATTACACAACAACTACAACTACACAACAACTACAGGTACAACTACAACAACTACAACTACAACTACAATAACTACAACTACAACTACACAACAACTACAACTACAAAACAACTACAACTACAACTATATGACTGCAACTACACTACACTAATTACATTACACCACAACTACAACTCCACTACGCTACAACTACAACTACAGTTGCAGTACATCACACTACATCCAGCAGTTGTGGGTGAGGTGACCGCTGCAACCATTGCAACCACTCCAGCAAACACAACTCCAACCACCTTTCGGTCAATCAGTGGATTCGCTCTGCCATCCCGGATTCACAACAACCAAGCTCTCCTATAGGTTTCCTATTCTGAAACTTCCGCCACCGCCTTGTGCGGTACTACTGGTATATATATATATATATATATAATCATATATATATATAATAATAATATATATATATATATATATAAAGATTAGTGAGGTGTATAATTTCCTTCTTCTCACTGACAATTCCTATGACGTATTCAGCCATCAACCCAACCGGTTAAACCGCTCCGCTCCCAGGCGTCTTTGGAACTGGGCGTTCGGCGCTTCCTACACGTGAGCTGGGGAACCTAAGACCTAAGGAACGGTGCAATCGCGATGAATTTGGCTAAGCTGGTGGGTTAAAAAAAACTCTACAGTTATGGCCATTTACCAGTTATAACTGGTTATTTCTATGGGATTATACATTCTATAAATTGGGTTATAAGTACTTATAACTGATAAATGGCCATAACTCTAAGAATTATTTGTAGATATCGCTATGAAATATGGCCATGAAATGTGAATATATATATATTTATATAATGATTTGTTGTATGGAGATATCAAGCAAGTGGACTTTTGGGAATTGTAATCATTGTTGGATGGGGTTCAATCCTAAGTTGTCACTGCCTTGTACACGGAAATAGGTGAAACGACAAACGCGGGGCATTTGGTGATGGCATGGAGTCTGCAAAATCAGTCACCTTTATGTTTTTTCTGATAGTTTTGTTTCCTGCAGTGGACTAGGTTTGCTGTGTAAACGGACCGAACGGTCGTGATCTTTGTGGCAGCTGAGCAGTAGCAGCAAAAGAAACAGGTTACCCTTTGGTACTCAAACATGGTTGGCTTGCAACCCCCCAATTTGAACAAAAAAAATCAAAAAAACAGATAAATTCTCTGGAAACGGATCTCAACGGAGTTTTTCCGTTGCCTGCCACCTTGAATATCCTGATGGTGTTCATTGCTTAGTTGTTTTTTCCCCACTTCTTGGTTGCTGAAAACAGGCTGGATAACATTGAAATCCTGCAAACATTTGAGCTCGTGCTGTCACGCAGGATTACCCCCATGGATGCATCAATAAACACCGGGTTTTTGAAGGCTCGACTTACTTTACGACTTTAGGAATACTTATCAGGGGAACTCCACCATTTCATTCAGTCAAGATCAACCTGGTGACAGAAAATCAAAATGACTGCATCCATGTATGCCACATAATGCATGTTTCAGGGCGTTTTTTTGTCGTTATATAGATGGGTTTAATGGTTTGACAATGGTTATAACTTGAAGCCCGTACAAGTTGGGACAATTTCACCCGCCATCTCAGGCACCGACGAAGTCTATGGTGAGAATGCCGCTCAGTTCAGTTCGATGTGGTTGTAGCTAGACCCTCCATAAGACACCCGGCTGGACCCTCTGAGTAAGTACCCATGAACATGTGCGTGTGTTGTTCCAATGATTTTAGTACATTTGCCCATTTGTATGGGGTCAATGCATGTTAATGAGGGTCTAAGCAAACTAGAACGGTTATATAAGTGGGTACAAGAAGGGCCCCAATACCTACAAGCTCTTTTATGAGCCTTTCTGTTGCATTCAGGCTAGTCTACTTACAAACCAGCTTAATTACTTAGGCATCTCCTTGTATTTTTCTCAAGATGTTTGGTACTTTGACCGTTTTTTGAGGATGCAAACTGAGCATCACTTCGTATTTCATGTCTCACAATGGTCGTTGAAATATCTGGGTCAAAAAGGTGTCCATTGGATTTGGGGCAATCGAATCCAAGCTGAATGGGTAGTTTCAATGGAACCCTGCATGGTTCAGATCCCCATTCTTGTCTTTAACTGGTCATCTTAGTACATTGTGTGATTGAATCATGTTATTGTGTGATTAAATCATGTTATTGAATATCTTGTTAATGTTATTAATATCTGATTAATATCCCCATTGGAAAAGATATCATGTTATGCTGGTTGGTGGTTTGGAACATTTTTTATTTTTCCATATATTGGGAATAATAATCCCAACTGACTTTCATATTTTTCAGAGGGGTTGAAACCACCAACCAGTCATGTGTTCTTGATTTAATATCTTTTCCAATGATGATATCTCGATTTCTTGCAGCTTATCTCTGTTCCCACGGTCGAAATCATCACTGCAGTTTCAACAGATTTCCACAAGGTGGTGCCCTCCAAGTTGTAAATTGGTTAACAAAAAAAACATGAATACTAGTTCGATATATCACCAACAAAAACCATAGTTAAATATGAATACTAGTTCGATATATCGCCAGCAGAATACTAGTTCGATATATCACCAACAAAAACCATAGTTAAATATGAATACTAGTTCGATATATCACCAACAGAATACTAGTTCTATATATCACCTATATCACCAACAAAAACCATATAGTGAAATCGGAGTTACCCTCTGGTAAATTAACATAACTATGGGAAGATCCACCATTTTCAATGGGTAAATCCACTATAAATCACCATGTTCAATATATAGCTGGAGATTGATGGTAGAAAATCTCCATACCCACCATGGTTATAAATTGGTTTATTAAACCCCTATGAATACTATATCTATAGATATATCACCATATATCACCAACAAAAACCATCGTGAAATTGGAGTTACCCTCTGGTAAATTAACATAACTATGGAAAGATCCACCATTTTCAGTGAGTAAATCCGCTATTTCGACTGGGCCATGTTCCAGTTCGCGAACTGGAACAGTCATTACCAGGCCGGGTATATCATATATCTGGTATACCCCAATAGATTCCCATTGAAAACCCAAAGGTTTACAATGTGAGGCCCCCTAGATAGTTAAGTTGCCTTATAAGTAGCTTTATGGTTTATAGTAGATATAACTACAGTATTCATGGGGTTTATAAACCAACAAACATCACTGGGGGGCACCACATTGTAGGGTTGTCGATATCACCATGTTCGCACCACCTGAGCGATTCCGCCGAGGTCGGCCCGGGATCCGCACGCTTCGCAGAGATGGATCCCTTCCGGCCCGGGAATCCCTACAGCGGCTCCAAGGTGGATGGCCCCCGTGATGCCATCGTGGTGATTCAAGGGGAATGGTGAGTTGAATGGTGATTTAGTTGTGGTTTAATGAGTTTAATGGTTGTTGAATGGGATTTGATGGTGGGTTCAATGGGATTTAATGGTGAAAGTAGTTATTGAATGGTGATTTCATGGGTTTCAAGTTTCCATGGTGATTTTTTCATGAAATTTGATGGACATGAATGGGGGTTAGTATGATTTAGTTAGCTAAGTTGGTAAACACAACTCCACTAACTGTTGGGTTTATGATAGTGTAGATATTGTATATTGAATGAGTTGGTTCTGGTTATACACCAACGAACATCCCTGGGGTTTCCCTTTTGGATATTTCAACAGCAATGTTGGGTTTTTGTTGGGGGATATAATGGTGAAAAACTGTGAATATGAGTGGATGTAGTGGCTATTTAACAGTTGGGGGCTGGGGACAAATCTCCATCAGATACTGTACAACGTAAGTGTTTTATGATAGTATTGTTTGATGACGGTCACATTCCATACTTATTTCCAGCAAAAAAAGCGCTGTTAGCAAAATTCATGATTATTTTGAGGATCAAGGTATTGTAGTTGGCTATTTTCAATCTTGAATCAAAAAGAGTGGATAGCAAGATGTGTGTGTTATAACTGCTGTTCCTTCCCCAAATATTCAGATGAACAACTACTTAGAAGTATCCGTGCAGGACATATGCTGCAATCAACTTGTGAATCGGTGAATCACAATCAATCCCTGGCCCTGCAAATTTGCAAAGCCGTTGAAATTATGGTGCTGGTTGGTGGTTTGGAACATTTTTATTTTTCCATATATTGGGAATAATAATCCCAACTGACTTTCATATTTTTCAGAGGGGTTGAAACCACCAACTAGTGGTGTAAATCACCAACTTGTTTGGGAACAAACAGATGGTCTAGGTATTCCCTTTTTATGCATCTTAAGCTTCTGAAGGTGACATGTCAGAAACTGGATCTGCTGCTGAATGTTGCTGATAAACAAGGAGCTACGAAACTCAACCAAAATTGGGTTCCAATGATATTCTGGGTGGTTAAAGGTGGGCCCCTCCTAGTTAGTTAAAAATTGGTTTCAAAACCCCATGAATACTACAGGTGTATCACCTATAAACCATAGTGAAATTGGAGTTATAAACGCACCAACTTAGCTATCGAAAACGGGGGCACCACCTTGTAGCTGTTGGTTGACAACCCAGTGTTGTTCCATGGGTCGCTGTCCAACGATCAGGCAGCGGCTGAATGTGTGGTGCGGGGATACGTGTCCAACTCAGGATGTCAGCGCGGCTTCGGTCCTATGACACAAAAAGGGGGAACCAAACGTCCCTGATCATTGGTTAGAGCTACCATGATATATCTACGTATAATTACTATATGGTAGTTATGAATGACCAAAATTACCACGCTTCTGACATTTTGGACATGGCAAACTGTTACACCCGTTAAATTACTTGAGGCTATTGCAAATTTGATCTAAAGAAGTTGCAGCGTCCACTGAAGGAATGGCACAGTTTTTTTTTTCAGTGCTTTCAAGTACCAACAGGGCAGTTGATCGACCCACATTTTTTCAATAAGGTGGTGCCCCATAGTTAGCGTTGGTTTATAACTCCAATAACTATAATAACTTGGGTTTATGGTAGATATATGTCTTATATAAACCAACAAACATCACTGGGGGGGGCAGCACAACCTTCTGTTTACCTGGAAACTGTGGATCAGCAGACTTTTGACGCCCTGAAATTTGCAGATTTGACCAGGGATGAGAGCTGATGAATTCTTGCTGGAGCAATTTGAGATTTATATGCAACCAAAGAAACTAGAGCCCTTGTTACATTGGTCGTCTAAGTTGGTTCCAAAATATGAAAGTCATGAGTTATCCGTATCTCTCAGTCTAAGCGTTTCAATATCATGATTCTAGAATTCAGGGCTGGTTTGGGCATTGTTTGAAGTGATCCATATGTTTCTTTGGACTACCATAGCGACCTATACACACTGTACAACTAGGTGTCTTGTCGGCCCACCTATTTTGTTGTTACATCCAGTGTTGTTTGCTTACACCCCCAAAAATTGCAAAACATGCAAATGCAGCTTAAATAACCATGTTCGCTGGTTCAACTCTCATCTGGTTGGTGGTTTGGAACATGTTTTATTTTCCATAATATATGGGATAATCCTTCCCATTGACTAATATTTTTCAAGATGGTTATTGCACCACCAACCAGTTATTGTTATATCCCTTCATCGTTGATGAAAGCCCAAGGTTTCTTGGGACATCCGTGGTTTCCCCTGTTGCGAGCAGCTGAGATGGAATCCTTCGGACGACAGCTGCCGATTCTGGTGGTACGGCCCAATAACATCTACGGCCCGCGGCAGTTCCCAGAGAAGTGGGGGCACCAAAAGCCTGGAGAAGGGCGATTTTCACCGGGGAGAACCCACTTGGAAAGACTGGAGCAGTCTGATCATTAATTGGTTTAAGGAAGAAAACATAACCATAGTGAGGATATCATGGGATATAACATGATAATACATGATATAACCATCAGATACCATGATTTCCGGGTTGTCCCCAAAAATGGGGGAAGTCCTTTGCTTCATTGCCATTTCGAAAGGGAATTTTCAGGTACCAGATCCATACCTGACGGCGCCATCACCACCCAACAGTCTTATGGGTTGGGCACCTTCGCTCAGGACTGGCTTACATCTGACCAACTAAGGATACCATTGTTGATTTGTCATGAAATACTGGCAGGGGGGTTATACTAACTGGTTTATTGGGGATTATAATTTTATAATGATAACACATATAGATAGATCTATTGTATGTCATGAGATGGGATGGAGTTGTTTTTTGTGGCTCATCTGGCTGTTTTTTGTTGTATCTGGGAGACTCTCTGTGAATCTAGGCTCTGAGAAGATCTTTGGGGAAATGTGGCCGTGGGATTAAGCGATGAATCCTTAACTTAAGGGGCGCCCAATGGGCACTGCGTCCGAGTGGACTCGTGGATCCCGACAAAAAAACGTTTGGCCCTTTTGGAGAGCCAAGATGCACAGAAAGCAACTTGTGTTTTAGTTCCTTGCTTGTCCGAAGTTTTTCATGAAGATCATGAGGACACAGCAGAGCTCGAGTACTGCAAAACTGACGATCAAGCAGCCGACATTATTACCAAAGCCCTAGAAGTGGGGTCCTGCCTAGGACCGATCTTCCAGGTGAGCTAAAGCTCTTGCGGAAAGGGCTACGCCCTCGTGCCTCACGTAGCTATCATCCCCACATGCACAGTGTATAAAATTACGATAGCTTACCTGTGTGGTAGGTACTTTAGCTGAGATATAGACCAACCCCCAAGGTGCTATACAGCCATTTGGAACATACACTAAATCAAAATGAGCATCTAATCATCTAGAAACTAAACTTATATACATGATTGAAGATTGAAATCTTGTTGCTTTGAGGTTGAATCTGGAGCCACCAGGGTCCGGGGTTGGAGTCCATCACAATGGAATTTCCAATCCCATGAACCAGCTATTGTAAGGGTTTGAACATGAGACAGAATCAATTTGTAAAAAGTCGGATCGAAGACCCTGCTAGATCAAGTCAGGCATCGACTTTCTTTTTCACCATTTGGGTTCGTCCTTGCAAATAATAGAAATAAAAAACGAAATTCGTTGGTAAGTCATGACAAGTTCTGACACCAAGTTCTGAGAAGCCGGGGTTCAGATCGCCCTAGGTTGATTCCCAAGTTCATCTATCGTTTGCAGCGGAAGCAAGAGCTACCACTGCATGGAGGCCGGTCCAGCTCGGTTACTGGAAGGATTTTGTTCGGAATTGGGGGAATCATCCCCTTTTTTGGCCAAACAATTCAGGGCGAATAATTGAAATTTACCTAGATACCCATAAAACTATCCCCGAAGTTGTTTGTAAAAACACACATATATATATATATATAACCACCAAGCCATTTTGTTTCTGCCCAACCTAGAAAAGGTGATATGACCAGCACAAGGTGATTTGTTTTATACCCAACTGCACCCCCAAGATCCAGCAGCCTTAAAACCAGTATTGACATCCCAGTAAAATATTCATGCTTGACCAGCAAAAGTGAAACATCCCAGTTGAACAATTATCGGTTGATACCCCCAAGACTGGTTATCCAAGTATTGACACTCCCAATACTAGGATGTATAGGGGCCAATATAAAAGTGGATGATAAACTATATTAACCAAACAAGATGCAGCCCACGAACCCGAATGCAGTCACGTAGAACACTTTTGTGAAACAAGCTATTTGAACAGTCTACATTGTTGCCCCTGTTACCCTACCAGTGCACTGTAGACTGTGGAATGCGGAAGAGGGTGAGTGTGGAAAATAAAGTGTAGAGTGTGGAGTGTGGAGTGTAAAGTAAGGAGTGTGGCGTGTAAAGTGTGGAGTGTGGAGTGTAAAGTGTAAAGTGTGGAGTATAGAGTGTAGAGTGTAGAGTGTTAAGTGTCGAGTGTAAAGTGTAGAGTGTGAAGAGTAGAGTGTGGAGTGTGGAGTGTGCAGTGTGGAGTGTAAAGTGTAAATGTAAAGTGTGGAGTGTGGAGTGTGCAGTGTAGAGTGTGGAGTGTGAAGTGTGGAGTGTGGAGTGTACAGTGCAGAGTGTAGAGTCTAAAGTGTGGAGCGTAAAGTGTAGAGTGCAAAGTGTGGAATGTAAAGTGTGGAGTGTAAGGTGTAAAGTGTGGAGTGTAGAGTGTGGAGCGTGCAGTGTGGAGTGTGGAGTGTGGAGTGTACGTGTGGAGTGTGGAGTGTGGAGTGTAAAGTGTAGAGTGTGGAGCGTAAAGTGTAGAGTATAAAGTATAAAGTGTAAAGTGTTTGAGGTAGCATATTTTCAGGTTCTAAGGAAAACTCGTAGGAAAACATCGATTTTGAAGCTACAAAGTGTCAAAATTGGAGGAAGTCTCGCACGAAATGCTCGTTTTGATGCTCCCACGTATCTCGTCTCGAGTCTCTGGTTTTCCTGTGGCCTCGCCGTGTCTTTGGGGTAAGCTGCAAAACGTCGAAGGTTTCCAAGCAGGTTGTCATGTTGCTTTGCGTGGCAGGCGCAGCACTTCAGACCAGTCTCGCAAAATGCCATGCCTGCCACGGAATTTGCACCTTGTCGCCACTTGACGCAGCCCTGCCAATGCGATTCGCAAAAATACGCGGGACCACACATCTAAAGTGCTGCGCCTGCCACGCAAAATGGCGATGGACAGGTCCAAAGTGACGCGCCTGCCACGAAAACTGCAACGCATCTTTTGAAAACGTCGCAAAAGTGTTGCGCCTGCCACACAAAACGACTTTCGACACGTTACAAAACACGTCTGAGTGTCACGAAGTGCCACGCCTGCCATGCGAAACGAAGCAACACCACATGTGAAACCTCCAAAAGTGACCCCTTTTGCAGAACATCTTATAGGCACGGCCATACGGCCCTCACACGGACGGTTGCGGACGGTTGCGAACTGTTGCGGACGGTTGCAGACGGTTGGGCAACGTCGAGCGAACACACCCTCAACCCCCAGACCCCCAGAGTGAAACGGGAACCCTTGCTATGCATTCGGGAAAACACATCCTTAGGACAGATCCCAACTGCACCCCTAAGTATTCACCAGTATTTTACTCGGATGTTTCGCCACCAAGTAGCCGGTTTTTGAGGTCCAGGCTGAGAGTCCTTCGCTTCAGGTGGCAAAGCCCGGAGGTCTTTTCTCTTCGTGGAAGACGCGGCGGAGGCAGCATTTCAAAGCTGGGTTCTGGTGATTTAGTGTTGATTTTCGTGAGGCTTTGCACAGCTTGGTAAATGTCCTAATTGAGCACCGGGCGTTTTTTTAACCCATGGAGACGATATTTGCGTCCTCTTGGCTAGATCCGTGGACTGGAGTACTGACCCCGATGGACTCCGGTGCCGCTGCGGGGGCAGAGGTTCAGCACGTGATAGAGAGCCCTGAGACGTGCAATTGTGGCCATGGGCATGCCTGTAGTCTTGTGTGTGCATGTGATTGTGCTTGTGAATTGTGTTTGTGCACACGGGTCCTATCGGTAAAAGCACCAACGAGGGCAGGTTGCTCTGTGCTTGCGCCAAGAAGATTCATGCCGAATTGGCTGCCGAATCGCGATGAAAAGTGAGACTAAGTTGTTGCAGCCCAGCATTGGTGCGCCACGAATGTTTCAAATCCATCCCACGCTGAACAACTGGGAACACATATGCTGTAAAAAACAACAATTTTACCAATCCAACATGAACAAGTTATTGCAGCGACCTGAAACTTTGACCAAAAGCGCTCGTTTGAAAAAAAACATCCGCAATTTTGAATTTTGAACAAAACACCGCGCATGTGCAACAAAACCCCACTTAGAATGCCCCATTTTGGTTAAACTGAGAATGCCCGAGCATACCCATGTAATATGGTAAAAAGAAATCTCTATGTGCTGTTATTTACGATGAATTTTCATGGACGCCCTAAAGCATAGAATGCCCCACATTTTTTGTCATTTGACCCCTCAAAAGTGTAGCCGCGTTTTTTTTGCAACACGTTTCAGCAGAAATGCAAAAAACTGAAAGGACAACAACAAAAATCTGTAAAAAACAGGTGAAAAATGGTGTAGCCGCGTTGTTTTGGCAACATTTGTGAGGAAAAATGAAGAAAACATTCCGAAATATACGGCCGAAAACATCAATCATGGATCAACAAATGTAGCCGCGTTTTTTTTTCGTATCACGTCTCAGCAAAATGGAGAAAAATGAAAGGACATAAACAAACATTTTCAAAAACTCAAGAAAAAATGGTGTAGCCGGTTTTTTTTGGGCAAATTTGTGGGGAAAAATTGCGAAACATGTCCGGAAAAGAATGAACATGTTTAAAAAAAAGTAGTGCGATAGCGTTTGTTTGGAACTTTGTTCAGAAAAATGAAGAAAAATCAACCAATATTTAAAAATCAGATGGATCAATGCTGTGTTCATTTATAGTTTTACCAAACCCACTACTAGTAAACCTCTATGTAATTTAGGGATGGTTTTTGCCAGCCATGTATGGTGATATTGGGGATGGTTTCTCATCAGGTTTGACCACACTAATTTGAAGAATTACACCTATGATATCCATTGTATTTGGGTTCAGAGGCATTCTAAGTTTAGTATCCTGGATCATGTTCCTTCGGTTTTCCCTGCATTTTGAAGTAGTACACACATGATATTTTGGTTTGTGAGTACTGAATCATTCCAAGTTTGAGCGGGGGGCATTCTAACTGCGGGGCATTCTAAGTTAATACCAATTAATTGTTTACACTTTTTGACCCATTCTAGGGTTCGGACCGCGGCAATATATATATATATAGTAAACCTCCTCGACATTAATCCATAAACCGTTTACCAGTTATAGTCCAGAGTCAATACACAGTATCTAGCGTAGACCATCTGCTACACATGTTGAAAAAAAACAGCAAACACCTCTCATAAATTACCTATACATCGCAGGTGTTGGCCAAATCCAAATGTTTGCCCATGTGCTGCAAGACGTATCTTCAACCATCACTCATTTGTGAAATCCATATCTTTTCTGTTTAAAGCACCATAAGTCAACAACAAATCACCACAAATCAGCAATAAATCCCTGGAAACAAAATCAACAAAAAATCGACATCAACCGTTCAAAATCGAAAATCAATCCCAACAAATCACCATACGTCCTTTTAAATCAACAACAAATCAAATCCCAATAGATCTCCACAAATCAGGGCTTGGTAAATGTCCCATCTTAGAGATTTTGAACATCATTTTCCACAATTTATGAAAAATGGATGTTCAAAAATATTAATATCATTTTCCACATAATAATTGTGGGTATTTGTATTATGACCCACAATTATTTGCTCAAGCCAACTTGCACAACCCCAAATCGGCCTCACGTTGTGTGGGTGGGAGATCAGTTCGGTAGTTGGCAGTTCGGGGGAGATCTGGGACTTGATCAAGGGTGCCAGAACACCGTTTTCGGTCGGTGGTGCCCCCGTTTTCGATAGCTAAGTTGGTGCGTTGAAAATGGCCATAGAAATAGTGGATTTACCCGTTGACAATGGTTGATCTTTCCATAGTTATGTTAATGTACCAGAGGGTAACTCCAATTTCACTGTGGTTTTTGTTGGTGATATACCTATAGTCTATAATATATAGTATTCATGGGGTTTATAAAACAATTTATAACGTTTGAGGGGCACCACCTATCTGATTGAACTAGAAGGTGACTGGTGACCCAGTTGTGTTTGCTGGTCTATTGCCCATCATAGCAACCCAGATGGGAGAACTGGTTACTGAACTGAAAAGACCGGAAGTGGTTACTGAGATGCTCGGAAGTGGGGGGGATAACAACAACTGGTTGGTGGTTTGGAACATGCATTTTATTTTCCATATATTGGGAATTTCATCATCCCAACTGACGAACTCCATGATTTTTCAGAGGGGTGGCGAAAAAACACCAACCAGACAAGAAAGGTTGAGGTTAACGTTAATGACTGGTGAGATCACTGATCTTGCCATTTCCCTGGGATGATGTGCCGCTATGGCAGTCACTCACCATTGGAAAGTGTGGAACTTGTCACATTGACGCCACATGCAGTAAGAAACGCAATTGATGTTTGTGTCAACCAAAGTTTCGCAAACTTGCAGCACTTCTACATGCACATAATCCATCCAAACCTTGGCCTCCTACTTGAACAAACTCCCCGTGCCAGAAGACTGGTCCAGGGCTCACATGTTTTCATCTCAACTGCAGCCCCATCAGATTTTTCATTCTTCAATCTGAAATGGACAAGAAGAGTAAGACAAGTACAAAACCCATCCAACATGCATTACTCATCTGATTTTTTCTAACCAAGCCCCACTTTTTGTTTTCCATAATCAGATGCTGGTTGAATTGAGACATAGTGATACAAGGTGCCCCCCAGTTATGAGATGTTATGAATTTGTTGTATAAATCCATCGTATCTCACCGGTTGGTGGTTTCAAACATTTTTTATTTTCCATTTCATATATGGGATGTCATCCTTCCCATTGACGAACTCATATTTTTCAAGACGGTTATTGCACCACCAGCCAGGTCATAGTATCAGTATCAGATAGAGTATCACCACTTTTAATGGGTAAATCCACTATCAATCACCATTTTCAATAGCAAACTGTCTGTTTACCAGGCCGGGTAGAGTATCTATGGCAACAAAAACCATAATGTGAGGCCCCCGTTAGATATGTTTGTTGGTTTAGAATCGCCCCAGTAACTAGTTCGTTATAAAATGTTATAAATACATATAAATACCATAAACCATAGTGAAATTGGATAAACTGCCATTTTCCTATGGTTTTCCTATGGTTTATGGTATAAACTGCCATAAATTTCCCCTCTCCGTTGTGACCATGGAAGGACCTCTATCTTGGCACCGGCCCAGCCCAAAGGGGTCCCCTCGGAGTCGGGTGAGTCGCCAGAGGCCTTCGACTTGGTCTTGCGCAAGGGAAAGCCTGGAGAGGCGGGTGGAACGTGGAACGGTTCGGAACGGTAACATCGATGGTGAGGTCAGGATGTCATTTCATGAACCAATTCAGAATACAAACATGGGAATGTATACCATGTGATATCAGGATATATATAGTCAGAATGTTTACTTAAGAAATATAGTTAGATGATATAATGCCAACACCGGATTAATAACCCCCCCCCCCAGAAGGTAGGATGTACCTAGAAAATCACCCCTTAATAATAAGCAACTCTGAACCATAAAACTTTGGATATGGCTTACGTCAATTAGATCTTAATAGAATTCCATTGGATTTGTTAAAATTTCATGGATCAGAAAGGTGGTTGATTAATCAGGGGCAAACCATGGTTATTATTACTGGGGGACATGGGCTCATGGGGGGTACCCTTTGGGAGCTATCCAAACTGATGTTTTTTATAAATATTTTAATTAGAAATCGATCATTTGGGGAATAGTTGTTTTTTGAAATTTTCAATGATCAACTTAAACCTGAAGTATAACAATGATGATTAAAAAAAAGGTAAAAAACAATTGGAAATAAATAGAATTGGAAATAAAAAATGTTGGATAAAAAAATGGATTTCCGAAGTGGTGGTTGATTAATCGGGGGTAGGCCCACCGGTTTATTAATCTGTGGGGACCACCTGTTTTTAAATTACATTTTTTTTTTTGGGCAATGGTGGTTGATTAATCCGGGGGGGATTATTAATCCTCACTTGACATTAGTTAGGATATATACTGCTATTTGAATAGCTAAGGGATTGTCAATGTTAAACTAGAGAGCACCATTGAGATGTATTATGATGTATTAAGGATATTAGGACATATGAGGTGGGATAAACTTGATCAATGTCGAGGGTGGGAATGAGATCATATCACGTGGGTATAGCTGAAACTTGATGATTTTCAGAGAGCTTCAATGCTTCTGACTTGGTTTTGTGATTGTGAAACAAGGTGGTGCCCCCCAAACATTTTGTTTGAAGGTCTACAAACATAGTATAGTCCTGTACTATCATAAACAATAGCTTTTGGAGATATAAACATATGGGGAGTTCCATAAATGGAGGTGCCCCCAAATGGATGGTTTATAATGGACAATCCCAATCTAAAATGGATGATTTAGGGGTACCCCCGTTTCAGGAAACCTCCATATATAAACCAACTTAGCTTTCTTCAAGGCACTAGTTTAAGTGAAGAGTTAGAGGAAACCATGGGTTCCATGTTTCCCGTCGCCCTCCCAAACTCCTCCCGAAACCCGACGGGAAGTGAACAGCCAGGGGTCTACCATCAGCCAGAGGGGTCTAAATTCCATTGAGCAATATTGAACATATTTGGGTGCATCCGAAGTTTTGGGGTAAGAGTCCACGTCAATGGTCAAAAACCAGGATGTGACAACCTGCTGATGGGACCTTGGGTTGCCAAGCAGCTTGACTTTTACCAAAAGGTCCACACGGGTGTGATGATTCCTCCCATTTGATCCTTCTTCAAACCAAGATTTTTTTTGTTAGTCATGATTCCGTCTATGCCCCATGCTCTTGCTTCACCCCCTAGTTTTTGTTGGTTTAATCAATAGTTCATCATCATTTTCCCTAGTAAATGGCAATGTTTATTGTTTTTCCATGTTTGTCCTTCCCATTTTCCCATTAAAAGCCCTTTCTTTTGAACAGCCAAGTCATCGTCACTTGCCCTGGCGCTAGAATGGTCACGATCAACACTCCAGAAAAACGTATGTCGCTTCAGCCGATTGGATAAAATCCTCTGCAGAACCCAGGGGGATATCCTTCTCATCGTGGACCCTGTGAAGGATACTTCCAATTGAATAATAATAATAATATAATACCAATATCTAATACCAATCAGGATAATTGGATGTCCAATTGGATAATGTCAAGGATAATACCAATTGGATATTTCTCTGCAGAACCCGGGGGGATATCCAACTGGATAGAATCCCTCCAAGTGGAAATGCACCCGTGGTGAAATTGCAAGTGGACCCAGATTTTTGATGAATAAACCCGGATGAATAAACCCCTTTATTGAATAAACCTCTTTTTGGGCCTAGGCTGTCTATTGGGGGTACGATTTAAATATGATCACTATTTGGGGAGTACACCCCTACAGTTAAGACCCCAAATACCAGTTAGAAACGGGTATAACTCGGTATTTCTATGGGATTATATAGTCCATAAATGGGGTGACTTAGTACTTATACCCTCTGGTAAACGTTTGCATAACTATGGAAAATCAGCATTTTTCATGGGAAAAATCACTATTCCTATGGTGATTTTCCATAGTTATGTAACGAATTACCAGGCCGGGTAACTGGTATAACTCGGGCCATAACTGTTTTTTAACCATGGAAATCTCTGGTCATATCCTGAAGTTGTCTTCTTGAGCCCAAGATATCCCAGGTTACGTTTCTGGTAGTAATATTATCTATATAAATAGTGTGTAGATCTAAACCATAGTAATATAAACTATAGATAATGATATAATACGATAATGATATAATGCTTGGTGGTTTGGAACATGAATGGATTATTTTCCCCAATAGTTGGGATGATGATCCAATCTGACGAACTCATATTTTTCAGAGGGGTGGCGAAAAACCACCAACCAGTTTACGAATGGATGAAGATGCAATATCCCTGGCTATACATAACTTAGATTTTTTCGTAAACAACCAACGACGGATTATATCGGTTGATTGATCTATGAGAATCCGTAGATCAACAACGCTATGTGAACCAAGTAGGATTAAACTAGATAAAGTATAATTATAGGGAACCTAACTTCTATTATGTGTAAGTTGGTTTATGTCTATGCTACATCAAAGATGACCTCCCGCGCCTGACGCTGGAGGCCTACAACATTGGTGCTGAACCTGGAAGCACCAAGTCCGTGTTGGAGGTGGGATTTTTTTGCCGAAGATAGCGTCAGTTTGTAGCTGTAAAAATAGGAAAAACACATGAAAGATGCAGATTTTCCAACATAAGAAAATAAACATGAAACATGTGGGATATTAATGCTCTTCTTCAAGTTTGTGCCCCCAAAACTTATGTTAGTTGATAGTTGTTGATCAGGATTAACTATTCAAATGTATCCATTTTGAAACCCCACTTATTAGCCAACTATACAGATGAGCTTCAAAACCAGTGTTGGTTGATGGTTAGTTTTGCTACTACGTTTCATCTATTGGCAACATTCGACTGCACAATATTGTTTCGTTCAAGATGCTTCTCTCCTCAGTGCAATGAATGGTGGTTTAAAAACCCCACCAGAAATCTATGGCCCTTAACAGGGCCTCAAAAGGGATGAACTAACTCCTGTCATTAAGGTTATATAAGTTATATATCATGTGGTCATGAGGCCAGGTATAAGTGTTTTTTGGGCTATTGGATAGATCTATCTAGCATATTCCATAGTTAGTCTAGTTTTAAATGTTTTAAACCACTATCACGCATCACTTTGATCACTTTGTAGCTATACAATCTTGTAAGAACACAGATAATTTTGGGGTAACACACCCCCATTTTAAGGGTGTACTTTGAAGACCAGCACTGTTGATCGTGGGGGTTCAAAACTGATCATAAAGCGGATATACAGTAGTGGGATAGTATGTGTGTATATCTTCTACCACTCCGGCTTTGCAGCTCACCAAGACTGCGCCGTGGGGGTCTTTTGGAGGATCATCAGTTGAGAAAGTGATGAGCAACCAATTAGCGATAAAGCTCTGGTAAATTTGGCTAATTGGGTAATTAGTAATAGTAGTGAAATTAACCCGTGAACTATTACCCAAAAACAAAACTATTCCATAGTTCTTGTATAACCCTCTGGTAAACGAACTATGGAAAATGTGGGTAAAACAAGAACGAACCACCCATTTGGGAATGGTTTTTGCTACCATATACCACCTATAAAAATGGTGATTCAGTGATGACTGGGACCTAGTACAAGGGGCCAATCGGACTAGATCCAGTGGTAACCACTAAATGTTACAATACCATGTTTCCATACCAAGTAGTCCTACTATTTTTTCCATAGCATAAAGAAATACACCATTCTAACACTAACCATTCACAATTTACAGTGTATAATGTCTAACACCAACCATTTACAATTGTTAAATTCCACTGAATCCACCGGCCTTCTGTCACTAAGGTCGCCTTCACTTGTCGCTCACTTGTCTCACCTGAACAAAAAAATAACCGGTTCATCCCTTGGCCACGAAGAAGGTCCAAGAAATGTGTTGGGTTTATGATAGATATATCGAACTAGTTAATTAGTGTTACTTAATGTTACTTAATGTTAGTTAATGATGGTTACTGATGGTTGATGATGGTTAATGATGGTTAACCACTTAGTTAATGTTACTTCATGTTGGTTGATATTAGTTTATGTTAGTTGATGTTGATGTTAGTTTGGTTGATGGTACTTGGGGGCGATTACATAATGTTAGATGTAATTACTATGATAAACTTGCTATGGTAAACTTTAACCAACCAGCAGTTCGACATGTTCGTTTGCGGGGCACCTTTAAAACAGTGCAGGTGGCTAAGGCGTTGATGCCTTACTTCGACATTGACGTCCAGAGGGACGCCGAGAAACATCTCAAGGTGCGACGGCGTTCTGCTATTGAAAACCTTTGAGGATTTTGTGACATAGCTACAAAGTGGTACCCCCCAGTGATGTTTGTTGGTTTATAAACTCCATTAACTGTAGTTATATCTACTATAAACTATAGTTAAACCACTTATAAGGCAACTTAGCTATTTAGGGGGCACCACATTGTATTGAACATACCCCCACGGAAATAGTGGATTGTCACCATTTCTAGTGGAAAGATCCACCATTTTTAATGGGGAAATCAACTATCAAATGGCCATTTATAGTTGATGTAGCTTTTCAATATGGTGATTTTCTAAAAATCTATGGTTTACCAGAGGGTAGTGGTTAATGATTGATAAGGCCCCAAATACCAGTTGTAAATGTTTGAACAGTGGTTGTAAATGTTGTTATTATTCAATAGTCCGGGTGACTTACTGACTTATAACTGGTATTTCGGGCTATAACTGTAATGATGATGGTTAATGGATATATTATATATATGCATGATATTGATCATGATGCCATTTGATGATGGTTAATGGATATAGTGAATGGATATGTTTAGTAGGGTATGGCCTTGGATTATGGACTATGGATTATGGTTCATCAAACATCACTAAGCTGGTTGATTGATGGATATGATCTTTGCCTGGGTTTGCGTCGATGATTTGTGAATGTTTTCCCAAGGGGAAATCCCTCATTGCGACATCACTGGAGTCATGAATTCAGCTACTTTCAGGCTACAGAATGGTGAGTCATTATAATTCGGTCAGATACTATAGTATATTTTTTAAAATGGATAATCATATAATATCATATAACCATCTATTGAAACTATAATGAGAAATGACTAGCTCTTGAAAAATAGCATAGTGTTTTGTTTTTTCTAGTGGAAAAACATGGGAGTCATTGAAAACTCACCAGCTCCCGAAACTAAAAACAACTTAGCTCACAAAGCAGGAAGGCTCGATGCATCCCAATTGTCAGATCAGCCACTGGTAAAACATCTACCCGGCCTGGTAAACGTTTACATAACGAACTGGACAATCACTTTTTTTGATGGGTAAATCAACTATAAATGAGCCATTCCCAATAGCTATGTTTTTTTTTAAACCAGAGGATATATTATGGGCAATAATGAAAAGATAGCATTCCTAGATGTTTACTGAACTTCCATTGTGGAATGGCTTCATGATATGAGAGGTTTGTTTTTTCTATGTTGTTATGTTCCTGTTTGTAGATGTTTTTCCAACATTGAATATTACAACATTATGGAACAATAGAATCATCGAGTCACAACTAAATAAACAAAATAAAGGCACATTCCATGTTTAAATCATAGATTCTATGATTTATACATGGAATGCGCCTTGTTAAATTTCGTTGTTATCAAATTTGCCAAGTCACAACCGGTGTTCGAATGATTCAGTTGCACACTGTACCGGTGCTACTCTGCGGTACCCCACAGTTCAGGCCCCAAATGCTAGTTATAAATGGGTAGAATTGGGTATTTCTATGGGATAAAAAAACATTCCATAAATGGGGTGACTTAGATGTTTTTTTTTTAATGTACTTATAACTAATATAATTCGGGCCATAACTGCAACTGTGTGTTACAGGCTGGTATACGGTGTAAAGATTGAACATGGACCAGTACCGAGATCATGGCATACGTTCCCCCTGCCTCCACCAAGCATATTACTCTCCACTGGATGGTGCCCCCACATATAATTTGGTTTTTATAAAGGCCTATGAGCACTAGTTCGTTATATCTACCATATAGTATCATATAGTTAAGTCTCAAAATTCGCAGGCAACTGAAGGCTATCGACTGGGGGACCCAAATATTATGATAATAGGTACAATTAACCCACATATTGTAACAGTATACAGTATAATCATTAATATATAGAATCATATTTGTATATGGTTGTTTATAAACCCCATTAACTATAGTATACTCTCCATCCACACATTTTCCATATCGTTGCCCCACATTTTACCCTGGCAGGTGGTGGCCGACCGAGTGAAGAACGATGCCTCCTACGATGTTTGGAACGCCTAGTTTTCGGCGGACGACTTGCCACTTTTTTGATGGGGGAGTTCACAATAATGATTTCATTGGGATTCATAGGGATTTATAAGGAATATGCCCTTTTGGTTATTTAACATAGCTATGGAAAATGGTTCATTTATACATGATTTATGATGATTTACCTATTAAAAGTGGTGATTTCCCATAGCTACGTGAAATAATTAGAGGGTAATTGAGCATATAAGTGGATATACTGGGATACATGATATGCCTTCTGGTAATTTCAAATCACCACAGGAACAATAGGCAAATCACGGAACAATACATGTTAACTTACCGCAGGGTATGTGAGCTTAGCCACCCTTTCTTTCAACCATGTTTTTTCCGAGGTTGGGCTTAAATAGAGGTTTCCGAAAATAGGGATACCACCAGTTCTGATCCATAGATAAAATTATCCCTAACAAAAACCATCCAATGCTCGCTTGGGGGACCCCCAGGACTAACCTTCCAAATGGTTATAATATTTATATCATGATAATAACAGTTGTAACTATTTGAGAGGTTAAATAATAACATAGTTATCACATGAGTTATAATCACTATGGAGTTATAACTAATAGTTATTTAATAACAGTTATAACAGCTCTATTTCATGATAACTATGATTGAATAACTACGGTTAACATCAAGTCACGACGATAGGCTAACCTTTTGGTAAACGTGGCAGACGTGGTCATCCACCAAAAGGTTGAAAAAACTCCGATTTCACTATGGTTTTTGTTGGTTATCTATGGTTAATGGGGTTTATGAACCAATTTATAACTAGAGGACACAGTTATTTCTTTCAATATAATGGCAGCTGTACGTTTGACTGATCTCAGCCGTCGACTTCGCCTCACCCCATTGCCATCAGCCAGAGCAGCGAAGGGAAGGAACAGATGGTGCGAGGCATTGGTCGAAGCGCGTCACGTTTTACAGATCAAAGGCTGGCAGGAAATTGGGGGCGCTACGCCACAGGGCCAACAGCTGCTTGCAGTGGCACGAGCCATCCTTAGGCGGCAATGAAAAAAGGTCAAGCGCTGGGCTGATCATTGAGCCGCTGGGGTTTCTTATTTCCCTTTTCTGATCTGAGTCATTGTCATGGCTGAGGCGCAGGCGGTGGACTGCGTGGCTGCCATTTTGAGCCTTTCCCGAAACTGGCCACAAGATGTGGAGCTTGTGTGGAGCTTTGCACACGACCACTCAAAGTCGTGGCTTGGAAAGTTTGCAAAATCATGTCTTCATGAGTTTTGAAAATCTGAAACTGAATAAAATACTGAATCTCATCATGTCTTCATGAGTTTTGAATCTGAATCTGAAACTTTATCGAAGGAAGTTTAGAAGTCAAACTTCCGACAATATGGACAGATGAAAAGCAGAGACGGGGAAGAGGCAGAGAGAAGAGAAGAGTGGAAGAGAGAAGATGATGGAAGAGAAAGAGTCAGAAGAAAGGAGATGCAGATGCGCGAAAAGGTAGGAAAGTCGCGAAAAACTGTGTTTTTCCAATGATTTGTGGCTCTGGAGGGTCGAAAAGTAGGCTCGCTAAAGCGGCGGGTGCGGAGCCATCTGTGATGAGAGATGAAAAAGTGCACGCCGTTGTGGCGCGAAGCACCTTTCCAAGTCAAAAAGTAAAAAACACACCAGTGCCGGACTACTTTTGGAAGTTGCGATTTGGAAAAGTGCACGCCGTTGTGGCGCAAAGCACCTTTCCAAGTCAAAATGTACAAAGCACACCAGTGTCGGACTACTTTTGGAAGTTGCGATTTGGAAAAGTGCACGCCGTTGTGGCGCGAACCACATTTCCAAGTCAAAATGTACAAAACACACCATTCTTGGACCACTTTTGGAAGTTGAGATGTCGAAAAAGTGCACGCCGTTGTAGCGCGAAGCACATTTCGAAGTCAAAATGTACAAAACATCGCATGTTCGCGCCACTTTTAGAGGTTCAGATGTCGTTTCGTGTGGCAGGCGCAAGGGATTGTGCACCTTGTCAAAAGTGAGCAAAACGTGAAGGTTTTGTCGCATTTCCAAAAACGATGGCAGGCGTGGGACATTTGAAGAGGATCTGCAAAGATGCATTATCCGTGGCAGGCGCAGTACAAAAGACATGTTCCTGAGAGATGTTAGGAGGTCAGGGCGCTGATTTCCTGAGAGGGGTTGCATTTTGGAGCATCAGATCTGGTTTGCTGAGATGATTTTGCATGACAGGTGCAGCACTTCGTATGACCTCGCATCACTTTTTCGTGGCAGGCGCAGTACTGTAGACAGGTCGAGTAGAAAAATCGCAAAACGCAATGGTACGAGGCCGTCAGCTCTGCAGTCAACTTTCCATTTTTGAAGGAAGTATCGCAGAATTGCTTTCTTTTTGATGTTGTCAAGTTCAAAAATTGAAGAAGTCTCGCAGACTTGCTTCGTTTTTGACGTTGTCAAGTTCAAAACATGAAGAAGTCTCGCAGAATTGCTTCGTTTTGGATGTTGTCAAGTTCAAAAATTAAGGAAGTCTCGCAGAATTGTTTAGTTTTCAAGCTTGCAGATAGACAGGCAGATAGATAGATAGACAGACAGACAGACAGAGAGAGAGAGAGAGAGATAGATAGATAAGATAAGATACGATAAGATAAGATAATATAGAAACGATAGGTAGATAGGCAGATAGGGACACAGATAGATACATAGTTAGATACATAGTTAGATAGACAGATGAGATAGCTAGATAGCTAGATAGATAGACAGATAGACAGATAGATGGACAGATAGACAGATAAATAAATAAATAGCTAGCTAGCTAGCTAGATAGATAGATAGATAGAGAGATAGACAGATAGACAAATAGACAGATAGACAGGTAGATAGACAGATAGACAGATAAATAGATAGATAGATAGCTAGATAGATAGATAGTTAGTACATAAACAGATAGATAGATAAACATAGAGATAGATAGCTAGCTAGATAGATAGACAGGTAGACAGACAAATAGATAGATAGATAGATAGATAGATAGATGGATAGAATAGATAGATAGATAGATAGATAGACAGACAGAGAGAGACAGAGAGAGAAAGAGAGAGAGAGAGAGAGATGGATACATAGATAGATAGGTGGATAGGTAGGTAGATAGTCAGAGAAAGAGACAGAAAGAGAGAGAGAAAGAGAAGAGACCTCAACCACCTGTCGGTCCATCAGTGGCTTCGCTCTTGCCATCTGTGATTCACAACAACCAACCTCTCCTTAAACTTCCGCCACCGCCTTGTGCGGTACTACTGGTACTAGATGTTTCAATACAATTATAAGCACTTTATTACTTCCCGAAAGACGTGGCTGAAGGGCATTTCATATAGAGCGTCATCACCTTACTTAAATAAATAAATATAAATATATATATATATTTGGCAAATTATAACGACTTCACTGTTCTCCTGAACCCTGGAATCATGGTTAATAAGGGAAATCATCCCTATGTGGGCCTTAATTCAGATTCGTGAAATACTATAATTTACCCAGATAAATAAATGGAGGTTTAATGGGAAAGTCATCTATACATTGTTTGGATATGGTGAATTCTCCATTGCCATATTTATTTATCGGATGTTTTTTCAAATCTGATTTTTCTCCATAAAGTGTTGCTGGGCACAAGTTCGCATCGTGAAAAAGGTCCAACATTGTGACAAAGAGTTAAAATGATTTTGTTTTGCCAGCCCCCAGCCTAAATCAAGCAACCAATTATTTATGAAACATAGACCATTTTATACTTAGAGAAAACTTCGTGTACACCTATCAAATATATATATATACATACATACAGACTCTTACAGTAATTTGTACTTTTAAATTGGTTTCCTTCCCAACTATTTTTTATGCCTGTGCCTTTAAATGGCACCAAACCGATCATCCATGGGGGTACGGATGCTTACAGAGGCAAGGGGGGAATTCACAGATGATTGAAATAATTTTCGATATCCTCATGAATTTCAATCTCTCAAATAAGTCCCTTTACATTCCCTAATATTTGGCCAATCTTATATTCTCATGGTATTTGTGTTGCCCCTTGGAACTTGCCCTGCCCAGATTCCTCCATCCAGCAAAGATTTGTTGCTTCAGTCCATGTTCATCGCCATAGAAGGTGGTGCCCCCTAGTTATGTTTGTTTAATTTTGTTGCTTTGTAGCCCAATCCAACTATGTCATTCGAAATCCTTAAACCTAGTAAAATAAACACATTCACCTCGATCATAAACGGATTCTTTCTTTGCGAGCTACACAAACCGACTTTGTTTACTGGATTGGACCGCACTCCACTCATATATGGATTGCAACATATTTTATTTGGTTTGTGTTTTGGAACATGTTTCATATTTCCATATATTGGGAATCATATTCCCAACTGACGAACCCATATGTTTCAGAGGGGTGGCGAAAAAACCACCAACCGGTTATATTCATTTCTTGTGAATCTTCCGTTTCTGATGGATATATACCCTCTAGTAAACTAGCATTACTACGGAAAAGCACAATTTTTTATGGGTAAATCAACTATTTCTATGGCCATTTTCAATAGCTATGTTAAATTACCAGAGGGTAACCCATATTTTTGACGGGCTGCCGAGGTACATAGCTGGAAGATCCGGAACTTGGGCTGGAAACCTACGGTGAACTTCCAGGCTCCAACAACGGCAGATGTAACGGTCGATGGTTGCGAAACCCTGCACCTGGGATGGTAGAAAACCTATACCCTTTGGTAAACGTTTACATAGCCATTGAAAATGGCCATTTCTAGTTGATTTACTCATTAAAAAATGACATTTTCCATAGTTATGTTAGTTTACCAGAGGGTAAATAATGGGATCAACCACCTATGAACTGGTGCAGGAATGCTTCCATCCACCGTATCACTCATTTTCACATATAATTACATAATGGGATAGTTTTGTTTAAATGTAGTTTTTAAGATTATCGTAATATGGTTTAATTATGGGTTTATTCTACTAAAATCTCATGGTATTTAACAATTAATCGCTACTATAATGGGATATAGATAATATGTAATGGTATATGTGTTTTTTTGTCAAGATATGATGATGCCATGGGAAGACAAAGGCAGGCGCCAAAGAACGCTGGGTTAAAATTTTAAGATGGATTCAAGATTATTTTGCTGGGAAAATGACGGTGCAAAGGGATATAACTATGGTATATATATATATATGTTATAGCCATTTGAGTAGGTGCTGCAAAAGCCACCGTTTGTTGATTATCTGCCCGGGAATTATACTAATCAACATTGATTCTGGATTATCACAATCCATTAGGGGCATCCCGGGCTGATTGAGTGAAATGCCCAACCTGCAAGACCATCGTGGCCAGACGCCAACTCAGCAACCACCAAGGGAGCGGCATATGCATGGAGCCACATCAGGCCTAATATACATGTCATGATTTGTTCTTATATTTCTCACCACCTTTTCTTTGCTTATATATATATATATAGCCTCAGGTTTAAATGTCAAACTTGTGCTGCAGGCAATGGTGGAACGCAATGCGAGTCAGAGATAAGTTGAAGAAGTTGCGTGCTCAATGGCCCCGAAAAATAATTAATTACAAGGCTAAGCGCCCTGCGAAGAAGCTCCATAGAGAGCCCAGGAAAGTGGCGAAATAGCATGCATGTGTTGACTTTTCCGCATTGAAGTCGATCAGTTGCGCCTGGGCAATGGTTGAGGAGAGTGCCATCCGACGAAGCGGCTCAACGACAGGGCATCCATGGTAGAAGCTCGCAACCGGTTGTCTGCCTATCCCGGACCTATGTGTCTATCATGGTGTGTCCCCAAGATAGCTAAGTTGGTTTAGAACTCCAATTTCACTATGGTTTTTCGGTGATATATCGAACTAGTATTCATAGGCTTCATAACCGATAAACATAACGTTTGGGGACACCACCTTGTATATTCAGGTTGGTGGTGTTAATCAGTTATGTTCAACCCTAAAAATCCTAAAACAGTGATTTTCTAAATCCCAACGGATGAGCGTCTTTGTACAGAAGGGCTTCTGAAACCACCAGCCGGAAGGAGAATACCAATTAAAACCCATGAAACACAATACGTGAAAAACACATTAGATACATATTCATATACGTTACGTCGCATATAGATAGATAGATAGATAGGTAGATAGGTAGATAGGTAGATAGGTAGATAGGTAGATAGGTAGATAGGTAGATAGGTAGATAGATAGATAGAATAGAATAGAATGATAGATAGATAGATAGATAGACAGATAGATAGATAGATTAGATTAGATTAGATTAGACTAGATAAGATAAGATAAGATAAAATAGACAGATAGATAGAATAGATAGATAGATAGATAGATAGACAGATAGATAGATAGATTAGATTAGATTAGATTAAACTAGATAAGACAAGATAAGATAAGATAAGATAGACTAGATAAGATAGATAGATATAGATATAGATAGATACAGATAGATAGATAATAGATAGATAGATAGATAGATAGATAGATAGATAGATAGATAGATAGATAGATAGATAGGTAGATAGATAGATAGATAGATAGATAGATAGATAGATATAATAGAATTCAATAGAATAGAATAGATATAGAGATAGAGAGATAGATAGAGAGAGAGAGATAGATAGATAGGTAGATAGATAGATAGATAGAGAGATAGATAGATAGAAAGATAGATAGGTAGATAGATATAGATATATTAGAATGGAATGGAATGGAATGGAATGGAATAGAATAGGAATAGAATAGAATAGAATAGAATAGAATAGAATGATAGATAGATATATCTTAGGGGGTTCTTCTAACAGTAACTAGGGTACCCTCTTTACAGGCTATATATTGCCTACATTAGGTACCCCCAGCAGTTATTATATACCCCTACCTTGTCTCATTCATACCCAATTTTTAACCAAAACATACCCCAATTTTTGTTATAATATACCTCGAAGTTTTGTTATAATATACCTCAATTTTTGTTATAATATACACCAATTATTGTTATAATATACACCAAATCTTGTTCAAAATATACCCCAAATCTTGTTCAAAATATACCCCAAATGTGTTCCAATTATACACAATATGCCACAAATTGTTTATACGTACCACTTTGCAGGAAGTTTTTGTTGGTCTTCTATACCTTTTTGACCGCCCAAACCATACCCCAAATTTGGGGTCTGGAATCCCAAAACATACCCCAAATTTGAGGTCTGGAATCCCAAAAAATACCCCAAATTTGGGGTCTGGAATGGGTCCGGGAAATTGGGGTATTTTTTGCTTCCCGTAAGCACACTAGCGTTCCAGACCCCAATTTCCCGGACCAATTCCAGACCTCAAATTTGGGGTATTTTTTGGGATTCCAGACCTCAAATTTGGGGTATGTTTTGGGATTCCATACCCCCAAATTTGGGGTATGGTTTAGGCGGTCAAAAAGGTATAGAAGACCAACAAAAACTTCCTTCAAAGTGGTACGTATAAACAAGTTGTGGCATATTGTGTATAATTGGAACACATTTGGGGTATATTTTGAACAAGATGTGGGGTATATTTTGAACAAGATTTGGGGTATATTGTGAACAAGATTTGGGGTATATTATAACAATAATTGGTGTATATTATAACAAAAAATGAGGTATATATACCCCAAATTTCGTGGTATATTATAACAACAAATGGGGTATATATACCCCAAATATTGGGGTATAATTGCCTAAAGAGTTACTGTTAGAAGCAATGCCTAAGATATATCCATTGTCAATGCATTATAAACAATGTATTGTCCAGAGATTCCATCATATCATATGATATCCTCATGATATCACAGTATAAACAATCCTGATAGTGCTGGCGCCATAGTTCCGTTGTTCCGTTCCATCAGGATGGCTTGCGTCGCACCGTGGAATGGTACCGGTCACTGGGTCGTTTTTTGTTGCGTCGTCACGGGGTGTTGAAAAGGGAGGCAACAGAATGGTGAGTGGACAATCGGCATGTTTTATAGGGAAATCATTTTCCACATCTAGGTAATCTATGTTAATTTTTACCCCAACACCAATTCGAGCAGTTCCCAGTGAGAAATCAAAAGACAACAACCAAAATCGGGGGTTTAAACAGTGCATCAAATGGGATTCCACATCTGGAAATGGATGAGGTAAACAGCAATATTCTGGTTGGTGGTTTGGAACATGAATTTTATTTTTCCATATATTAGGAATAATAATCCCAACCGACTTTTATATTTTTCAGAGGGGTGGCTCAACCACCAACCAGATGTTGTGCGTTCTCCAAGGGGGTGGACTTGTTGGACTTAACATGTGTGAATGGTTGGGGTAGGGCTGTGTTGATGTTTATTCAGTTTATTCCACTCGATAGCTTCACACCACCAACATGATTGTCGATACAAAGTGGATTGCTGGTGGTATCCCCATGTTTGGTTCTATTCGACTTGGAGTTGAAAATCAAATAGTTGAAAGAGCTGTGTTTGACATGAACCATTGTTCGAAAGTCATATATCTAAATCCGTGTTCGGGACAATTCAACTCTTCAATGGAAACTAATAATTTTTGAAACTGAGGATCAAAACTAGGTTTGATGTATTGAAACATTTGAACTAGTGTTGGTTTCGAACATCTGACATTTCAACTCTTAAAACATCTTGAAACATTGAATCTAAAGATCAATCAATACTTGAAACCACACCTCAAAACATCAGTCACAACTAGAAAACTCACGATTTTTGTTTGTCCCACCAAATGGTGGGGCCCCAATCGACTTTATGTTGGTTTGTAACTTCATCTAACTCGATATATTTCCTCCAACCCTACTAGCTAAAAGGTTTGGAACCTCATCCAATATATCTAACCGGTTCGATCTATTCCACATAAATTCCAGTTCCATGTGGGTAAAACAATGCCATAAACGCACCATCCTCCAATCATCACAATAAATGTATGGCTGGTACGGGTACGTTTACAAATCCCAGTCATGGGTGGTTTATGAAGTTGTTTTACCCACATGAAACCCTATAATGCTAGATTTTCCCAATGTATGGTTTTCCTGTAAATCTTCCAAGGAGGTGCAAGCGTGTTCACCATTTGTGATGCAATTGTGGACTGTCAATTTCCCTTCCCGAGAATGCGATGTGGTGCTAGGACCAGGGTTTTCTGCCATTTGCCATCTTCATGGACAGATTTCCATAAGCTGATTGACACACGTTGTGGACTGGGTGGGATTTCGCATGGTGCCAGCGCGATTGGCCTCCACACCACTGTGGCCAATGACATGAACCCGAGAATGGTTGAATTGCATGCTGCTCACTCGACCTGCGAACATGTGGTTGGAGACATTGGGGATTTGCATGTGGTTGCAGATATCTGGGTGAAATGTGATCGTGCGGCTGTCCTGGCTGCTGGCTTCTCGTGCCAGCCCTTCAGCAGTTTAGGAGACCATCTTGGTGGTGCCGACCCAAGGGCCTCTACATTGCCTAAGGTCCTTCCTGCGGCGTATCTTCTACAGGTGAAGGTCATCATGTTGGAGTGCGTGGTTCCAGCCAAATCGGATCTTTGCGTCAACCAGATGCTTGAGAAATTCATGGCCCTGACAGGGTTCACTATGGAAGTTGTGACTCTTGACCTTCAGAATGCCTGGCCCTGCCGTCGTTGTTGGTCATGGTGGCTCCTGATCCACTGATTATTGTGGTTTGGTAAATCACCATGAAAGCATCATTTTTTTAACCCCAACATGTTCTCCATTAGATTTCATCCACTATAGTCCATTATAGTCCACATAAGTTTCAGTAAACCCGATTGTAGTGATTTCAGTTGTAAATTGGTTTATAAAGCCCATGAATACTAGTTCGATATATCACCGACAAAAACCATATAGTGAAATTGGAGAAATAAGTTCACTCACCAACTGCACGCTATCTGATAAAAAAACATATTTATAAGATTGAGGCAATTCCTAAAAATGTTTATTCCAATCAAATGTAAATAGGATTCCAGTAAACCAAGGCAAAATAGTGGAATTGTCTTCGCATTGCCACATTACTATAGGGATACCAAAATCAACATAATTAGTATCCACATAATTGGAGTTATTTGCACTGAACGCTATCTTATAAAATCTTATAAAGCATCCCAAAAATTCCACATCAATTCCAGTAAAGCCCGAAATTCCCATCATATAAGCATATATAATCACTATTATTGGTATTATAACCACTATTATTGGTATTATAACCACTATTATTAGTAACTACTATAACCCCATTATTATTATAATTATATTACCACCATTAAATAATCACTCTTATAACTATAAATAGGATCTATAAACCCAAAAAATCATGTTTTTTCGGCACCAAGTGATTTGACTGAGGCAAAATCCTGACCATTGGACTTCGGCCTGGGACTTGTGGGACTTGTGGGACCTCGGCAGTGGCCATGGGAATCGCCCTTGTGGCGGTTAGTCGAAATGGGGTATCGAAATGGGGAGTTGATGGGAATATAAAACGAATCTTGGGATTTTTATAGGCTAAAGCCTGTTGAAAAAATTAGTTTTCACATGTTTTCATGGAGTTTAAACATGAATTAACCAATATGGGGATATAAAACAAGAGTTTAAATGGATATTTTATCATTAGAGACTGGATAGTAATGGGATTTTGACTGGGTCAACGGTGGGTACTTTGAAATCATGTTGATATTGTGCAAATATTTTTCTTGCGAGAGCTAGCGGTTCCAGATCGTTTCAAAGCGGATATCCAGTCGACTGGTGGTATACTGGTGGTTGATGGGGTTGGTTATCATGGTTATCTGGACCTCATCTGGTTGGTGGTTTGGAACATGAATTTTATTTTTCCGTATATTGGGAATAATAATCCCAACTGACTTTCATATTTTTCAGAGGGGTGGCTCAACCACCAACCAGTCATGGTTATCTGGACCTCATGAGTTGCGTCAGCTCTAGATTCCCAGTCTTCCACTTACCTTTGAGGCAATCCTTGGATCACTGAACGTTCTAAGAGTGTAATGTAAGGGGTTGCATACTGCATGTCTGACAGGTAACTTCATGGAAGTTGAGGGGTACCCCCGGTACTGAAGATGTGGTTCCTAGCCACGGTTCAAGTGGTAAGGAATCCCAAGAAAAAGATCACCTTTGGGGCTAAAGTGTCAATGGTTCAGGGGGGATTTACCCTCTGGTAAACGTTTACATAGCTATAGAACATGGCCATAGAAATAGTTGATTTACCCATTCATAGCATGGCGATTTTCCATAGTTATGTAAACGTTTACCAGAGGGTATATCCCATTAATATCCCAATGAATCACTATAAAATGCCATTAAATCATTATAAATCCCATGATTTTCCATCCTGACTCGGACGTATGTTTGGAATTCCGGTGATGTTTGGACGACCATCCTCTCACCATATTTGGGCCATATCAATGCCATTGATCTTAGTTTGGAGGACCAGTCCAGTGTTTCCGAAAACATGAAGCGGGGCGGGATATGGGAGATCAAAATGGATCTTAAGTTACTTCTGACATATTTATGACCTATTTATGACATATTTATGACATTTTTGGTGAAATATTTTGGTGTTGATTGCTGAAGCAATTTATGGAGTTACGGATGATGAATGGATGATTTCAGTATTTTGGGCCAGATCTTTCGGGTGTGGAGGATCTAGGATAGCCATGAAATCCCATGAAATCCGGTGGAAATCCCATGAATTCGACCACTAAGAAATGGGTATCATATGTATTCAGTGAAGTCCCATTGAAAAATGGATGATTATAGCATATTATAGCCATAGGATCCTGGAATATCTATGAATTCTACTGGCATATATCATCATATATCCATGATTCATCACGATAGCCCCATAGAATCCAGTCAAAAAATGGGAAGATATGCCAGTATATCCCAAGTCTATCCCAAGTCTATCCCAAGTCTGGTCATTATCTGGTCATTATCCCACTATATCCCCATGATATCCCCACGATATATCCCCTCTACCCCTGGAGTTGCTGCGGACGAGGTGGAGGAAGCCTTGCTCCCTGACAACGGCGGCATGAAGCGAGCTGCCCTGTAAAAAGACATGAGCAGTGGCCCAGCTTTGGCTGCGATCTAGCCCTGTTGGTTGATGATTAGTTGAGGATTGAAAAACTACCCACAGTTAAGGCCATTTATTAGTTATAACTGGTTATTTCAATGGGATTATACATTCTATAAATGTGGTTATAAGTATTTATAACTGGTAAAGGGCCATAACTGCAGTATTTTGGGGATTATAATAAACAGTATAAATAGTGATCCACTAATAAATGATAATAATTAGTATTAGTTGGATAATACACACTATTTAATGATCCAAGAACGGGGAATCACTATTTATATCAACTAGTATGTTTATAGTGATTCACCGTTCTTGGATTATTGAACCAGTACTGGATTATCACGTCTTTTTCACCAAGCAGTGTTCAACCAAGCAGTGTTCAACCAAGCAGTGTATAATGGAATAACAATCACTATAAATCACTATAAACCAACTATTACAATAATCCAATAATGGAATAAAAACGAGGGATTTTGAACGCTGCAATCAATTGGCGCCGCGAAACACGCACTGCTGCGAGGCTTCGGCCATCTTCAATAGCTATGTTAATCAACCGGAATCTTGGGTTAGGTCTTGGATTTCCGACTGCCTCCAAGGTTTGTGCCAAAAAAATGAAACAAGTTTCAGTTGATTTTAGTGAGAGATTTCGATTTTAAATCCTGGAATTTTCGCATTCAGCTGTGAAACACCTAGTTTGGTGACACAGAACATGTCAGGATAAACTAAGCCGCATTATACAAATACGTGCGAAGCTGTGATATACTGTAATGCGGTAAACCCTATAGCAAACCATCCCCGTACTCCCAGAAATAGGTTTTATATAATATAGTATGTATATATATATATATGTTCCGTAGCCATTTTGGCTCAAGACATTTTGGTTCAAGGCGGGCAAAACCCAAATTTAAACCGCCACCACTTCCAGGCACGCTGGGAAGCAGCACGATGCAGTACATCGGCAGGGAAGTCAGTCTGATTTCAAATCAGATGATCCGATACAAGGGCATCCTGGACAGTATCAACGCACAAGAGTCCACGATTACCTTGCTGAATTTGCACCAGGCAGCACATGCGACGGGTAGCTCATCTGCCTCAGCATCATCCGGATGCCCTGCTTTTCAATTCAACATTCATGCGGAAGAATTCCAACCAGGCCGAGCTGTTCCCGATCAAAGTGACTTTGTCCACGAATTGTATCTCATTTGGACTGCCAGGGTTTTTACATGGGAGCAAGAGACCCCTTCGGCCCCCATCATAACCTGGTTTGTTGACCATCGAGGTTTTCCAATTTGCGCTCAAGGCCGTAGTGTACAGCTTGATGACCAGTATCATGACTGGGAATCCAGAATCCGGGCCGTGTGGCATGAGTTCATTGAACCAGGCATCACATTGGAATTGCATGTGGTTGAACCTTCACCACCGATCATGGAGCCCAATGTACTTGCCCACGTCATCATTGTGCAAGCACCGCGGCCAGAATGGATCTCACGTCTTGTCACAGTTTTTGACTCGTTTATTGGACGCAGAGAAAACCACTTATGCGCCTTGCTGTCACTGTGTCCGAACACATCCAACTTGATGTTGTCATGCGCCATTGCGGCTACACACAAGCAACAGCCATCTCGTCCAACCGGGACAACGCTGGCCAGGTCGCTCCGGCGATGAAATCACAATACGGGTACACCGACCTGTGGTTGCTCTGCCGACAGCTCAGGCCGATGATGCCACATTGCTTCAATTGCCAGTCAGATCAAAGAGCCTGTTGACGTTGCATGACCGGCTTTTTCCAGATCATGAGGTGCCTATTCAACTTATCCATGTTGGAAGTGAACCAGGAATTCCTGAGAACTTCCCATCACAAGTGATGGTTCCAAATGACTATTTTGAACATGACATCCAGAATGCCATCCAAGAGTTTGGATTTGCATACCATGCCTATTCACTTCCGACCACTGGTTTTGCATTCGTTACTCCAGTGACTTGGACTGCGAAGAAAGATGAATGGCATTATGTGTATTATCCATTACAATTTAATGATCGCTCTGACATCATTTTGCACAGAGCTTCTCAAAATCTCTCAGAACACGGACACATGGCACTCTTGCATTCACTTGGGCTGGAACGTGTTGTTATTTTGTGTACACACATGCCCAGATCACAATTGGTCCTGGTGCAATATCATAACAACAAGCCGGCCCTGGATGGGCCTGAACTGAAAAGTAAAGTTCCTACTGCATGGCCGAAAAGACAAGTGATTGCACCAAAACAGCCATTTTTTCAGGCACCCTCAACAGAAACACTGGATCCGGAGCATCTTCTTGCATGGGATCTAACTCTGTCGGACCTTCAGCAACTGTTTACATCAGGTGAGACAACGCTGTGTACTTGGCACTCCCATTTACAGGTTCCTGACTTTGTGCGAGATGCACTGGCGCAAACTACCGCCACTGAGGGTTCTGCCTTGCCTTTCAGGGAATTTGATCGCTTGATTGTGTACACTGATGGAAGTTCCAAACCGTCCAATCGCAGGAAAGCGCCTTTATGGGTGCACGAAAAGGACATTCCTGATGCATGGGCCTTTGTAGTTCTAGGCGAAAAGTATGGAAGCCATGGAAACGATTCTACCATCACTTTTCTCGGTTGGCACTCGCAACCTGTGTTGTATGAATCTTCACTGCCACATTTCCTCGGAACAGATGCAATCGGATCAGAGTTTGCGGAACGTGAAGGTCTATTCTGGGCAGGTCTGTGGCGGCTTGGAATTAACTGCACCATTCCCACCGTCTTTAGGACAGATGCAAGCACCACGGCAGAACAAGCCTCAGGTTGCACCAACTGCCATGACAATCATGCCACATTTGTCCTTCTCCGATGCGTGTTTCAGGCCCTTGCTGCCGGACTGACTGACGAGGGGCTCATCGTCGAACACGTTGCCGGACATGCTGGCGATGCATGGAATGAATTGGCAGATCATTTGGCCAAAACTGAGGCCGCTCATGGACACAAACTAACACGACAGCAGATTGACTTGCGCAAGTGGGCACAATTCTTGCCATTTCTCTGGATGGCAATACATCGAGAGGCTGGCCTTCCCACTCTCACAAGTGTTGGCTTTGACATCACGCCGCCACAGATGCCATCAACCTTGCCCAGACAGGAGCAGGCCGCAGTCCTCAACAGGAAGATTTCAGCCCAATTTGCTTTGAGTTTAGCTTCCTTCAATGTTGGATCACTTTTTGTTGGACCAGATGGCTTTGCTGGCAAACTGCAATACCTACGAGAGCAAATGAAATCATTTCGAATCAATATCATTGGATTGCAGGATACCAGAAGTCCAGCTGGAATGAGCACTGCTGATGACGTGTTGCGATTGGCAGGAGGTTCGTTCAAAGGCCAGTACGGTATTGAGATCTGGATTAATCTTGCACAACCAATTAGTCTTGCAGGCGGACGACCGCACTTCTTGAAAAAATCCCATGTGCAAATTGTCCATGCGGATCCGCGAAGATTACTTGCGCCTCTAGCGCACATCCGGCCCTTAACTGCCATGTTTTTGCCATGCATGCACCCCAGAGTGGGAGACCACTTGGTGAGAGGAAATCATGGTGGGAAGAAACTCAGGAGATTGCTAACGCTCATTGCAAGGATATTCCTCTCATTGCTTTGATTGACGCCAATGCTAAGAGCGGACCGAAGAGACCACCAATTGTGCTTGAAAATGATGATGTTTGTTCGGCCAATACTGATTTTTTCATCAACTTCCTCCAAGCTCAGAGTTTATATTTGCCCTGCACCAGCCAAATTCATAGCGGCACAAATGACACTTGGACGGCTCCAGACGGAGTGCACCGGCACCGTATTGATTACGTTGCAGTTCCGTTTGATTCGAGTGATGCCTGCGTTCATTCTAGTGTTATTCACGACCTGGATCAGGGTAATGCCAACGATGATCACCAAGCTGTTGGCATCCAACTCATTTGGAATGGGAAAGAGGAGGTCCCTTCCAAAAGGACACCAAAGGCAGTTTTCCAACGAGAGGCCATTGGCCAATGCCGTCAATCCATTGAGTGTTCAGCAATCAAACCTGTGTCTTGGAACACCGACATTGAAACCCAAGTTCAACAACTTAATGAGCAACTGTTGCAACAAGTGTGCAAAGCATGCCCCATTACACCATCGGCACCAAAGAAACGATGTTTCAGTGGTAGTGTTTGGGAGCTCAGAGCACAGAAGCTTGCATTGCGACACCGCATCCGAAAAGCCACCAAGGGCCAGATCCAAAGTAGCCTAAGGTTCTTCTTCCAACTTTGGAAGTCTCCGGCCACTTCCAGCCGAACCATTGTGCAGCATCATGCATATGAACACACAAATTTGTGCATACACTTCCGATTGCAGTGTCAATATGCTGTGCTTGCACGCAGCCTGCGCAAACAACTCCGGTTGTACAAAATTGCAGGCACTGAATGAGGAGATCGCCGCGCTCAATGAACAGGCTCCAGCAGGTGAAATTTTGCATTGCCTTGAGCCTTTTCTCGGATCGACGAATCCTAAAAAGATCAAACGTGCGTGTCTTCCCTTAGTGAAAGATGCTACAGGTCATATCTGCAGCACGCCTGCTGCTGCCCAACAAAGATGGATAGAATTTTTCCAACAAATTGAAGGCGGCCAGAGACTCACACATGCTGAGTTCAGACAATCATGGCTGAAGAACCTGGCAAAGTTTCTCAATGTCGACACTCTCCATGTGCCGATCCAAGAATTGCCCAGTTTGGTCGAATTGGAAACTGCTTTTCGTCGAGTATCCGTTGGAAAGGCGATCGGCATGGATGGAATTCCACCGGAATTGTGCCGCTACAAAGCACGAGATCTTGCCTTGTTGACGTATTCCATTTTGATGAAAACATGCCTTTTTGGCCAAGAAGCGATCGAGCACAAAGGTGGCCGCCTAGCGATTGCATGGAAGCATAAAGGAGATCCGGCGGAATGTTCATCCCATCGATCGCTTTTAGTGTCCAGCCACTTAGGCAAGACCATCCATCGTGCACTGAGGCACAAGCATCATGGCCTGTACACTCAGTTCATGCAATCTCAACAGGTTGGCGGACGTCCGCACATGCCAGTCGGAGTGCCGCTCCATATGACACGCGCATTTTTGCGCTGGCAACATCGATTGAAACACCCGGCATCCGTAATTTTCCTTGATCTCACAGAAGCGTTTTATACCAATAGGTCGGATTGAACTTGTGCTACTTATGCAAACTTACAAATACTTATGCTAGTTATGTTAACTTATACCCTACTTAGGTTGTAATTTAAAACTGATACTAAACGTAAGTAGTTTTAAGTTGGTCACAAGTTACTTACAAGTAAACATAAGTAGTATACAAGTAGAAATAAGTAGAAATAAGTAGAACATAGTTGAAACTTCTTGTTTTTGCAAAAAGTGAGAAGGAAATCCGAACTTAGGTTTGGAGAGGTTAAAGTTTAGTTTTCGAGAGAGCTTTTTGGTATATTTTTGGTGAAACAGCATGGGCGCGCTGACTAAGCAGAAGAACTTGTTTTGGGGTTTGCCGCGCTCGACGCTCAATAAGGAAATGATTTTTTTTTGCTTATCGATGCTTTCGAGCGGTCACACCGCTTTTGGTTAGTAAAACTTAGAGACGGACATGAACAGATATGATATAACATAATATAACTAGTTATGTTATATATAATATATGTTTATCTTGATAGCGGTCACACCGCTTCCTATATATATATCATTGAGCGGGCACACCGCTAATATTAATGCATGGTATTGAAACATGATAAATATTGTTCTTTTATATGTTGAAACGCAAATACATGAGATAGCAAAACCATTTCCACGCATGGTTTCTTTTACAAAGGCCCACTGCATGTGTACGACTAGGACAAGAGCGTGAGAAGATCCTCAGTCACCACGGACACCTGCCAAACGAGACTGGGGTGCATGTCCTTCAGGGTGGGCAGCATCTTCTGCATCAGTCTGTGTAAAGGCCACAGATTTGAGAGAAATATTCAAGAGATATCAGAGAGATAGCACAGAGATAGCACAGAGATAACATGAGATAGCATAGATAGCACAGAGATAGCACAGAGATAGCACAGAGCAAAAAGCTCTCCCGAGCATGAGATAGCATAGATAGCACAGAGATAGCACAGAGCAAAAAGCTCTCCCGAGCATGAGATAGCATAGATAGCACAGAGATAGCACAGAGATAGCACAGAGATAGCACAGAGGTAGCACAGATCAAAGCACTGTCCCCCACCTGAGATAGCATAGATAGCACAGAGATAGCACAGAGATAGCACAGAGATAGCATGAGATAGCACAGAGATAGCAACACACCAGCCAGGGCAGAGATAGAGTTTTAAAAAAACGCACAGACAAGAAAGAGCAGAGCTCACCAAGTTCTGGAGCAAGAGACAGAAAGCAAGAGGAAAAATGAGGCCGAGAGACATGCGAAACAGACAACAAGAGCAGACATACCGCCTGACATATAGCAATGCAACAAGCGGACAGACTGCTCTATTTTCTTTGAAATGCAAAAATATACAGATAGAGAGATCGAAAGATAGATAGAAAGATAGATAGATAGATAGATATTTCTATACTTATACATGCGCCGGGAAAGATGCGATTTGCAGCATCTGCGTGTAATATCGTGTAATGCTCCAGCTGGTCTCTTTCAAAACTAAAAAGCGGACACACCGCTCAACCATGCAAACATTTCGTAAACATTGACACATAACCAACGGAAAAACTTGACTTTCCATCTAAAAGATGCGCTCAAACAAAAACTAAGAAAACAAAGCCAAACTACATACCGTTTGGAAAAAACTCTCAAAAACCAATAAAAAAGATAACTAGGTTAAGTAGAAATAAGTAGAACATAAGTAGAACTAAGTTAGAACAACTAACTTAGACAACTTAAGCACCAAAAGCTTCCACCTACTTAATTCCTACTTCACAAGTAAGTTAATTACATGCAAGTTACTTCAAGTAACTTCAACTAACTACAAGTAGGCTCTTAAGCTAAGTTACTTACTGCCTACTTAACATCCACTTACCTTAATTAAACTCATGTTAAACCATACTTACAACTTAATGCAAGTAGCACAAGTTCAATCCGACCTATTGGTAGGGTTGTCCGTGTCTTGGCATTAGGTGGTGACTTCGAAGACGAGCATGTTGCATACATTGCCAGCCACCTTGGCTTCACTGAGGATACGATGCATGAATTTGTCCAGCAATTGCAGGAACCTTCGGCCATCGCTTGCACTGGTGCATGGTTCACCATAGGTGAACAACCTGACGTTGTGCGCACGAAGCAAGGATCCCGACCAGGGGACAGTTACGCCGACGTCGTTTTTGGCCTGCTGTGGGCCAAACTTTTGAAACACATATGAATCCAAATTAAATGAAGCAGGCATTCTGACTCTGGTCCCAGAGTTCCAGCATCCATCACTTTTCAATGCTGCCAGTGCTGATGCACCACATCGGCCATTTATTGGTCCAACGTGGATGGACGACTTGAGTGTTTGCCTTGGTGCTTCTTCAAATCAAGCCTTGCTCTCAAAGACTGGTACTGCCCTGAGTATCTTAATAGACCTCTGCCATGAGACTCACATGCACCCAAACCTCAAGAAAGGGAAAACAGAGGTCATGTTCTGTTTTCGAGGCGCAGGCTCTCGAGAGCTCAGACGACAATACTACTCCCAGAGTAGTGGTTTTCCAGTCATTTGTGAAAAGAAAACACATCATATCTCTGTTGTGAGTAGGTATTTGCACTTGGGAGGAATCCTACATCACCGAATAGTTGCCCATGCTGAAATCACCCGACGTTTGGGCATTGCCCATCAGGCCTTTACCCAGCATAGGCGTGTGCTTTATCACAATGCTCTGATTCCCTGGAAGAAGCGCCAGGAAATCTTTTCGACATTGGTCCTCAGCAAACTCGTTTTCGGTTTTGAATCATGGACGTCTGAGACCCAACAGTGTCGAGACCAACTGCATGCTGGCATTGTGAAATTGCACAAACGTCTCTTGGGATACCGTTGCATCGCACATCTCACTGATGATGCTGTCATCATTGCTGCTGGTTTGCCCTCCCCCACTGAAATCCTTCGCTGCAGTCGCCTTCGATATTTTGGCTCCTTGTATCGTTGTGGACGAGATGCCCACTGGGGTCTTCTGAAAGAAGATCTGACTTGGGTAGCCATGCTTGAAGATGATTTTCGATGGCTTTGGCAGCAGTTGCATAACAGCACAAGCCTCCCTGATCCTTCTTTGCATTTCCCGGTGTGGCAAGACATTCTCATGCACCATGGGGGATACTGGAAAAAGCTCATTAAGAAGGGAGTAGCTCACGCATGTCTCCAAAGAGAAAATGAAGACATTGCAGTGCAGATGCATCGTAGAGTTGCCAACATTTTACATCAGCATGGTTGGGCACCAGAGCTCCCAATCAACAAACACAAGTATCAGAAACAATCACAGGCTTTTGGCTGCATGCAATGTCGCACAACACATGCCAGTCGAGCGGGGGAAAGTGCTCACATGTTCCGTAGACATGGTTACCGTGCCTCAGCCAGACAGCTTTTTGATGGTACTTCATGTCCGCATTGTCTTCGTGAGTACCACACCAGAGCCAAGGTGCTCGCACATTTGCGACATGCACATGTATGCAGACAAAGTTTGATTGGCAGAAGAATATCTTGTGACCCAACGCCTGGCACAGGATCAACTGTTGACCGCGACTTGCATGAGGCCACGGATGGCGCTATTCCCTTTCTTCTGGGACAAGGGCCGCGAATTCCGGAAGGCAACCTTCATGATTTTGTCGACTATGACATTCATGTGTTGGAAGCGCTGTATCTCCGTTTAGTAGAGTTAGAACCTACTGATGACCTCATGACAGCCTTGCAAGAGGAGATCCAACAACATCCAATTTGTTGGACGACTTGCTGCCAAACTCTCAGCCAGTTTTTGGAGACATTGACTGAGGAGGATGCGGAGCCCTTGCATGTTTCATTTGCCCAGGTAGTTACATGCGTACAGGCCTTGCTGAAGGTTGACAATTGGGCTTTCCTTGCAGATGTTACGCAGCCAGACTCTGTATCAAAGGTGCGACTGGATGAATGGGAACAGTGGTTTGCTGATCTTGCTACTGGCCCAACATGCACATGGGCAGATATTCCAGCCATTCCAAGACAGCCCTTTCGATTCAAGGTTGTACTGCATGCATACGCAGGACGGAGAAGACGAGGAGACATTGAGCGGTACATGGATTCATTGTCCAGCCAATTTCATGATCACATCATTGTCACTGCCTCAGTTGACATTGTCATTGACTCTCAGTTCGGCGACATTGCAAAAGCAGAAACGAGGGATTATTGGTTGTCACACACATCAAAAGTGGCCACGTGATTGCCTTCATTGGAGGTCCACCATGCAACACATGGAGCAAAGCCAGAAACATTGATTTGGGGGAATTTCATGGCCCCCGTGTGGTTCGCAGCCCAGATGCCCCTTGGGGGTTGCCATCACTGAGACTTGGCGAGTTGCGCCAGGTAATGTTGGGCACGCTCCTTTTGGGATTCGCATTTGAATGCATGGCTGCCCTGGCCATTTGCACTGGAGCCGGACTCTTGGAGCATCCACGAGATCCAGAACATCCAGACTATGTTAGCATTTGGCGTTTACCAATTTTGCGCCTGCTTTTGAATCTGCCACGAATGAGACTGATTTCGCTCTCAAAGGGCTTATTCGGTGCCCCTTCACCAAAACCCACCACCTTCTTGGTCTTGGGTATGGCGACATTGGAAATGGACTTGCATCGACATCGTCTTTCTGGTCATCTTCCACAGGGCTGTTCGATTGGCAAAGATTCAAGCGGCAACTACCGAACGGCACCGCTGAAAGAATATCCTCCTTCTCTCTGCATGGCGGTGGCCACCGGATTGTGTACAGATATCACCAGCATGGATTGCGGTGAAGCTGAATGCGATCCTCCATCTGAGTTCATCGAAAGATGTAAAGGCATGCATGATGTTTCTTTTGATGGATGTATCGGGCACGACGGATGAATGCATCTGTTCGAGCCACCTGAATTTGACCTGCATCTCAGTCCAGACAGAATTATTTTTTGACAGGCTGACCGGCTGATTTTTACTTTTTGATGCTGATGATCATACAATACCATACATGCGCGCCCAACATGCAGGAACTGGATCGCTCCAGAGAATTGGCGAGGGTCTCAAGAAAGCTCAAGAAGAACAGCCCACTCAGACTCTTGCACCTCAGTCCAGACAGAATCATGTTGCACTTCTGGAGGTCGACAAACTGGAGCGCCTGTTCTTGGCCGCAGCCAAATAGAAAACGCGTGCGGTTTGGATGTTCTTCGTTTTGCTACCGTCGGACCCTCCCGAATTCTGTGGAGTATCCATGACCACAGTGACCATTGATGACCTGTGTGGATCGCTACTGGGTACGGGAGAGAGAAAAAAAATATATATATATATATATATGCCATCCCCAAAGGGTGGGTCTATCATTGGGTTTGCCACATTAAATAGAATCAACCAGATAGACAGTGGATTTCAACCCCCAAACGAAGGAAACAACGGAGATAGTGGCTTAACCAAATACAGGTAGTTTATGGTAGTTTCAGAGCACAAAATCTCACGCAATGATGACCAGTTGGGGTTTTCGGACCATTTTCCTCCAAACGCATCCAATGATTAACCAACCACATGTAATTTCGCAAAAGAAACAATTTCAATGGCCATTTCAGGAGCCCAAATTGGAGCCACCTATCATTTATAAGGCCTATGTGTCAGGGCTATGTAAAGGAATATCCCCAAACCATATGGCCTTATATGCTGCAGTGCTTCCATTTTGGGATCCTGAAATTCCCATTGACAATTGCTCTTTATGTTGCAATGATGTGGGAAAGTGTGGCCATGGACAATCGTCACTAATAGTAGATATTGAAAACCCAGAAGGATGGAATGCTGGGGTTGTTACCAGTGTTACCAAGGAACATAAAACATAACAATTCAATAGAAAACAAAATACATCCAAAAAGAACTTATGACAAAACATTGGGTTATTCCCCGGCGCAATGAGCATGCATCAATATACATTGATTGCATTGATTGGGGCTAGTGAATCTTAAGAATGAAAATCATTTTATCTCCTCAACCTCCTCCACTCCTGTCCTTCTGGTTCCAAGCTTTCAGATTGAGCCACAGATGGAAAGCAAAGCAATGCGCGGCACATGGTCCCAGTCGAATTTTCACGGATGTGGCTGAGACCTGCTGTCCATCCGGAAAAGAGCTGACCAGAAAAGCTATCACCTGAGTTCATCAGCCGGCAACAGTGTTCACAGATACGTCCTCAAGGTTGATCCGGATAAACCGGCACAACCCAAAAACCGGCATAGACATGAAATCGGAACTATGACAAAGCCATCCCTGACCATTTCGCCCACACAGAAAAAAACGGGTTAACATCCAAGATTACATCCCTATCATGCACAAAACAGTCAGATATCTTCAGATATATCGGGTGATGTTGTCAATGGTTATCATTGTTCACAGAATGCACATCGCTAGCCATGAGCTTTGGTGTTTTTCAGCAGCTTGCGCCCAGTGCTCTAGTGGACCGTTCAGACCTAAGAACGGGGTTGCTGCTTGGGTGTAGACGTACATCTAGTATAGTTTGGCCAGCTTTAGGTCTACTGTGAGTGTATCCACATACTACAAGTGGCTGGTTGGTGGTTTTGAACATGTTTTTTCTCCAGTATGGGGAATTTCATCATCAACTGACGAAGTCATGTTTTTCAGAGGGGTGGCGAAAAACCACCAACAAGTACAAGTGGGTACGGTATATCCGATACGATCCCGGATGCTTTGGGATGTCAACCCGGAGGATTGACGCGCGGGGTTGCCACAGTGATCAAGTCCCATCCAAATTTGTAGCCCCTGTTCATAAACTGAGGTTTTCCTGGTCCTGGCTTAAGAGTAGCTGGTTTACGCTGGTTTATTGATTTTCTTAATGTAGCCATTACATGCAATAAGACCCACTGATCCAAGAGCCAAGGCTGGGAGCTAGGTTGGAAGTTTGGTGGCCTTTTGTTTCCAAAGAACCTGTGATTGATATTTGTCTAAAAATGTGGGATTCGAAGCCCAGTCGGGCCATCATGAGCTCAGTGCTTGGGATTTTCAGCACGATGTGTTCTTGGAGAACGAAATCAACGGTACTCTGGAGTATATCGTCGCCAACCGAGACAGCGATTGGTGATCATGAGTTCCCTGAGATGGTACCCTGAGACGTTGATAGAGGGTATAGGTTTTCCTGATGATAGTGTGATTCCTGGGGTGAATGGCAAGACCATTTATCCTGAGCTTAGCTACACAAGTGCGAAATTGATGCAAGCTGTGTGAGCTGCATGAGGCTGGGCTCATCAAGGGATTGCAGTCGCAACCACCTTGGACAACTATTGCGACCTGCACTCTTCAAGGATTTCCCGCGCTGGAGCCTCCTTTCATCCAATGACGGACACCATGGGTCGTCCTCGGAACTCGCAAGGCCTTGTCCCATTGATCATTTCAGATTCCCAGATGTTGGTTTGCAAAGAAACTTCGGAACACCCCCCCTCCATTCCCGAAACCAACATGACTGCCCTGGGGGGTTTAGAAGACTACAGTACTTTCCACAAAAAAGGCTAGTTTCAGGGTTAAGGTGTAATTCACTGGGGTTAACAGAAAACACGTGGTTTCCTGCACGTGTTTCTAGAATAATAGATTCAAGGCTAAGCCAAAGCTTTTAGGGTGCTATTTGATCATTGCAGACGGGGTTTACTGGTTGATTCCAGAAGTTTCGTAAAATGACCTAAATCACCCATGTTAAGAAATTCCACTATACTACTATACTAAGACCACTAATGGAAGAAATTTTCACTTTAGGCACTTAACGAGTTTATAAGCATCTGACAAGTTGCTAGTATCTTGCTAATATATTGTTTATATAAATTGTTTCTTTTAAAACTATTTTGAGTTAAGTTTCACTATTTTTTTATTTGAGTTTGTTACATAATAATGAGGATATAATCAAATATAGTCGAAAATTAGTGAATGATATCTGAAAATATTTGAAAGTATCTGAAAATATCTGAAAATAGCTGGAAATCATTTTTCTTGTTTTGCTTTCATTTCGAGGGAATAACTCCTGGAAAGGGCGCTTCCTGACAAGGAACGTTTCCGTCAAGGATACTTCCTGTAAAGGATAGTTCCTGATAAGGAAAGTTCCTGTCAAGAATGTTTCCTGTAAAGGAGAGTTCGTGGAAACAAAAATTCCTGTAAAGGATAGTTCCTGGAAAGGAAACTTCCTGTACTGGCAGATTCTTGAAGGAAAATGAAAATTCCTCTACAGGATAGTTCCTAGGAAGGAAACTTCCCTTACTGAGAGATTCTTGAAAGAAAAGGACAATTCATTTAAGGGATAGTTCCTGGGAAGGAAACTTCCCTTACTGAGAGATTCTTGAAAGAAAAGGACAATTCATATAAGGGATAGTTCCTGGGAAGGAAACTTCCCTTACTGAGAGATTCTGGAAAGAAAAGAAAAGTTCCTGTGGAAAGAGACTTTCTCAGAAGGAAACTAAACTTCCTGAGGAAGATACTTCCTGTGCAGAAAATGTTCAGCAAAGGTAACCTCTTGAAAATGCTGCTTCCTATGAACGAAAATGTCCAAACGGAACCCAGTTCAGTTCAATTTATATTGAATTTCTGTGAGTATTCACTTTTTTTAATATTTACTGCTTTTATAAAAGTTTGTAAAGAAGGAGACGGCTGTATATACTTCAGAATCTCCATATTAACATAACTCAAACGCTTTGAGAGAAAAAACAAAAGCATTTAGATTTTAGAAATTTCTGAAACTTGAAAGAATAAAAATATACAGAATTATTTAAAAAAAGTGAAATTTGATATAAAGCAAAGAGACAATTTAGAAAATTCAGAAAATTCGGAAAATTCAGAAAATTCAGACAATTCAGAATTATAATGAAATATATATATATATCGTTTTTTTTTTAAATTTCAAAAAAAATAGAAAATTCAGAAAACTCAGAAAATTCAGAAACTTCAAAAAAATCAGAAAACTCAGAAAATTCAAAAAATTCCGAAAATTCAGAAAATTCAAAAAAACAAGAATATTCAAAGAAATCAGAAAATTCAAAAAAATCAGAAAATTAAAAAAAAATCAGAAAATTCAGAAAATTCAGAAAATTTAGAAAGTTCAGCAAAAAAATCCCAAATATATACAACTATATTCTATATACATATATACATATATAATTAACAAGAATTTGAAAAAATATTTAAAAAATAGAAAAATTGTTTAATCATATTCTAAATTTAAAAAAATAGAAAAATATACGTGATTTCACAAACTCTATAAAAATATTCATGTTTTTAAGAATGTCAATTTTTGGGTAACCAAGAAACAAAAAGAAAGCAGCATGCAACTGAAAGATTCATTTCAGAAAGTTTCCATGTCAGGAAATGATCCTTCCAGAAAGCATCCTTTGCAAGATTTTAACGCTTCATTTTGTTTTTCATATCTTCCTGAAACGGATGATTCCTGAAAAGGATGATTCCTGAAGAGGAAAAACCCTGTAAAGGATCATCCCTGAAAAGGAAGTTCTTAAATCGGCAAATATCTTAACACGGGATAAACTATTAAACAAAAAACAATAGCCAACGTATAAATCTTCAAATGCATTTTCCTGTTTTGAAAAATTTGTGTAAAGAAAAAACAGGTCTATTCTCAGTTCTTAACCTGTAAAAAAATATAAGTGAAAATAAGTGAACATAAGTAAAAATAAGTAAAAACTTGTTAAAATAAGTTCTATGATAAGTTCAAATAAGCACTAATATTTCCATTAAGTGCCTAAAGTGAAAATATCTTCCATTAGTGGTCTCAGTATAGACTATAGACTCTATAGACCATCCATTTCGGGATATCACCACAGGCGAATGTCATTGAATGAAGTGCAACATATGTCCAGTCAATCGGATCAAAT